AAACCATTTATGCAACACGGAATGCTGAAGAAGAAGATGCTCCCAGGCTTGCCCAAAGGAAGCTTCTGAGAGTAACCCTAATCCTTCTCTTAACCCTAAAAATGCCATTTTGGAAGCCAATACAATTAACATATCCCAAATGTACAGACTAGATCCAACATTCTGCAACATAGCTGTTAGGTCAGCTACAGGTCAGTTTTCACATATTCGTAGCACAGATATACCTGACTGAGTTGGGGCAAGGATTTTGGAGCACTGGCTAATTTGGAAATTGGAGAAGCTGTCCTGCTCACCACCACAAAATGACTGCCACAGCAATCATGGCAAAAGACAGGAGACCTGCAAAAGGACTAAGTACAAGCCACAGGTGGGGGGGGGGTCTGACCCCCACATGCTGAGGAACTCCTTCAAACCTTCAGTTACCAACACACCAAAAACCTATTTCACAGCCACATGTGTCTATTTGAACAAAGCAAAGTGAGGGGGGAGGAGGAGGGGAAGGGACGGGACAGGATGGGATGGGAGGAGGGAGGGAGGGAGGAGGGCTGGGCACCTTGATGAGTCCAAGGCCCCATTGGCACCCAGGGGCACCTTGTTGCCAACCCGTGTCATAGTGGGTAGACTGTCATGGTGGATAAAGACTTTGCTTGCTTGCTTGCTTGCTTGCTTGCTTGCTTGCTTGCTTGCTTGCTATCTTTCTGCTCATCCAAATAGTACCCAAGGGAGCATACAGCAACCCTGTTACCTGTATTTGTTCTGAAGACCTCAGTGGGCACTTACAGCCTTGAGGCTGTTAACAGGCTCACCCATCGAGGCAGCTGGCAGGGCGGTCTTTGAACTCTGCACTTCAGTTATTACTTGCAGCTTCCATAAAAAGAAAGGGCACGACTGTGGTGAAGGGCAGGCCACAACACAGGGGTTGGATTGGTTGTGTAGCGCACAGGAGGGCACACAGTGCTGTGTTTCTACAAGATGCTCTCAGATACAAGTTTAGATTTTGGTGCTTTCATTACCTGCAGGAATTCAGCAACTGCCCAGGGGTACCTGTTGTGTCCCTTCATCAGGGCCATGGGGCAGAGCTAGTCCCAAGAACAAAACAAAAAGAAAATACACAAGCCAGTGCTCCCAAGCAAATCTGACAGTTCTTGCAAAATGATGCCTCAGCAACTCCAGGCAAAACAAGCCAAGACCAGCAGACAGTCAGACACAATTTAGGTCTCTGGCAGGCAAGCAGGTGAAGCGGACAAGTCAAGCAGAAAGCAAGGTCCTGTGGGGCAAGTGGAAACAACCAGCCAGGTAAACAGACATCAGCCTGGAGACCTAAACCTGAAACCTCCCCAGTGGGGGTCTTACCTGGGTAACTTAAGGAATCCTTGCTAAATTGCCCCTGAGTCTACCTGGTTAACACATTAACAAGAAGGGCATCTTTACAAGAAAGTTGCTGACTTTCCTTGAAAATCCACAGAAAATTCTTAGATTTCTGGTAAAATTCTAACTGGGCCATATTTACACCTTTGGATAGAAAACAGGGGTTGTCTAATTTAAAATTGACATCAAGATTTTTAACATTAGAAAACATTCACATAATATGCAAATAAAATGTTCAGTAAGATGTGTATTTTCCAGCTGCAGTCCTATTCTGTTAAATGAGAGTAAGCCCTATTGAACTCAATGTCACTTCTGAGCAGACAAGTATCAGAATTTGCTGTGGGAATATCAGAGGAGCAAAATGGCTTTTCGACTAGTTCATATTTTTGTATTTGCCTTTTCTAAATAACACCCGACTTGATTCAAGCAGTTTCTCATTCATATATACAAAATAATGCAACCCCCATTGAAATATTAAAGCAGTTCCGATATTTATTTACCATGCATTCTAGGATCAAGACAATAAAACCTTTAAAACTCTTTAATTTTTGCCCTTCTTCCTCCAGGCATTAATAAATGACTGTATGACAAATAGAAACTTTTCTCACTCTGATTTGAAATTAAAAAGAGACTATAAAACACCTGTGCCAGTGTAATAAAGCAGAACTATTTATGGTTGCTCTCAACTCCTGTCACACAATCTCTACGATGTGACTTTTCTTGCAAGGAATTACCAACAAAACAAGACCTTTTGGCCCAGTCATTAGCATTGCCCATAAAACAACACTTCAGCCATGTTAACGATTACAGTGCCAGGATGCTATAGGATATAATATGCAATTGCCAAGGCATTCCTTTCCAAAGAAAGCTCAACAAAGTATGCGACGGTTATATGTCCCTCTGATTAATATAAATGATCATATTGTGAATGGACTGATTGTGTCTAACCTGGTGGTTCTGGTGGTGACTTATGAATGCTCAGAAGCATGGTTCAGTATGACTTTATTCTAGGGCAGAAAAGTCTCTTTTGGTGCAAACACACTGGGAGAGAAGATCTCCTTCAAAATCTATGGGAACCGTTCGGGAGCCCTTTGTGCCTGCCCATGGATACTTCCCATTAATTCCAGTGAGACTTCAGCTGGGTGCCTTCCTTCCATGCAGACTGCATTTGTTGGCTTTAAAGGAACATTATCTTCTCCTTTATTTTAATTCACTGTTTTAAAGTGATGCATTTCATAATTAAACACTAAATGTATTTACGTGTTGAGTGTCACTGATCACAGTGAAAATTGCTGTTTGTTCCTTTCTCTCGCTTCCTCCACCAGTGCCAGCAATTTATTTTTGAAATGCGACATGTAAAAGGCCAGATAAGAACTTTTGAGTCCTGCTGAATCAGACCTAAGGCTTGGCTTATCCAGCGTTCTTTTCCCACAATGCCCCTGGGGTGCCCACAAGTAGGGCTGGAGTACAACAACTCCCTCCTCCCCCTTGTATTCCCCAGCAACTGGCTTTCAGAAATATAGCACCTTTCTCTGGAGGGGATGCATAGCCTTTATGGTTAGTAGCCTGTGATAGATCTGTCCTCCCTGGATGTGCCCAAAGTCATTCCAGTTGGTCAGCATAGCATCTTGGGCAAAAGAATTCCATTGTTTAATCATGTGTTGTGTGTCTGTCCTGAGTATCCCACTGATCAGCTTCATCAACTGGATTGCAGAATTATAAGAGAAGGAGGGAAAACTTGACCACTTTCTCCACACTGCACATTAATGTATAGCCTGCTGTCTTGTCTCCTATAATCCACCCATTTTTCTAAGCTGAAAAACCCCAGGCATTATAACCTTGTCCTATTGGGGAACTGCTCCAGCTCCTTGAACATTTTGTTTACCTGTTTTTGGAAATTTCCCCAACTTAATAGCCTGAGTTTGAGCAGAACTGCAAGCAATATTCCACATGTGGCCTTATTACAGGCATTATTTAAGTGTACACTACCCAGAAAGCTTCAGCTATTGGGCCGTATAGAAATGATACAAATGGAATAAATAATGGATGCCACATGTCCCTCCCCTGCCTGTTGCCCAAAGTGGTGGTGGAGGGCATTGTTGTTGGAAGATTCAATTTGGCTTCTGTACCTGGAAGGAGAGAAACCCCAACCTTGTCCTTCAGCTCAGGCAGCAAAATATTATGTGCAGGCCCCCAAATTTGCACATTCTCCTGTTTGACTGAAGCCCAGATCCTCCATTAGAAACATTTTTCAGAAGAATGATCCATTTCAAAAGCAATGCTGGTGTAAGCATTGTACTGTGAGATGCAGACAGAAGATCCCCTAAGCCATTTCTCCTGTCGGACAAGCATGGAGCTTAGTCATTAGCCAGTGCCTTCCTCAGCCTTTCTTCCCTTTCGCTTCTGTGTTATTTAGTCTCCATACCTCCTCATCACCCCCATGTACCAATGGCCCTTAACATCATCTTGCAGCCAGTATACGGTGTGACGCAACACTCCAACATTTAAGCCAATAAAATAAGATTTATTCCAAAAATAACTAAGCTGCTCTTCCCATTTTAAAATGACATATATATATAAATAAACACAATACTGGCTGTTTTAATTCTGCTTCCTTTTCTAATGATTCCCAACATGGAATTTGCCTTTTTCACTGAAGTGTCATATCCTTGTTTGGGTGTTATAAGCTGGCAGTAGATGGAGTGCCGGAATTCTGCAACTCATCCAGGCATTATGGTGGGAGGTCTTTCATTAACCCCACAATGAATTCCAGTGTCCGTGACCCTCAGCAGAGGCGATCCACACATGAGCATGACCTTCAGAGGTGATCCGCTCTATCCTATTTTCATCCAATGCGCAACCTTCCATCCAAAATTAGGATGTGTAATAACTAGCAAAAATTCTCTTTGAATTACATGGCAATAATGCTGGGAGGAAAAGCAGCAACTTTGTTGAAGCAACCATCTAAAACAAGGGTTTTTTTGCATGGAGTGAAGGCAAGTAAGAAAGGCTATCATGTACTTTTTGGATCCTTATATTTTCCAAGCTAGTCTTATTCGCTTTTAGCCAATTGTTTGTATAAATTTTTCAGCAAGGATAAATGAGTTTAATTTTTGATATGTTTAAATATAATGTAAATAATTTATCCTTTCCTTGAAATATTCTCCTTTCTTGGGCCCAAAATTTTGTAATGAAGCCATTATTCAAGTCTCGTATAAGGAATACTTTCACATTCCCACTTATTTAGTGGCAAACTAATCACATTTATTGTGTTCCTCGTGTACTTCTGGCTAAAATGTGTATATATGTTATATATTTTACATGAAATATGTATACTTATTAAAATAACTCAATATATATTGCAATGTTCAGAGCAGAAAAATGAAGTCCTTGAGGGTTTGTGAGTTTCCTCTCAACTTTTTTTTTAAAAATTGCTCGAGACCAACTAGAGTTAGGGGTACTTTCCTATACATGTTTCAGCAAAAAGAAAAAAAAAAGCCCCATAATGTCCACCATTCCTCTGCAAATCACTGTCTGAACATTCATAGGATGTTTGTACCCTGAGACAGTAAAAGAGAGAAAGAGAAAAAAACCCTTCTCAATTCCATTTTTTATTATTCTGTTTTGTTTAGGTTAGTGGGACCATGTATAATACAGGAAGGCATGTTTCTCTACGACTGGACAAAGAACATTTGGTCAACATCTCGGGAGGGCCCATGACATACAGTCATCGCTTGGAAGAAATCCGGTTACACTTTGGCAGCGAAGACAGCCAGGGGTCAGAACACCTACTGAACGGACAAGCTTTCTCTGGGGAGGTATGTCGATGTACTTAAAGCTCTGAAGAGAGAAATAAAAATACAATGATGCCTAAGGAAGGGACCTTTCGCATGGATTGGAATTTTGCACTTAACAAAACAGGAAAAACAACCACTAGTACACAAAAATTCTGCAAGTGGAATATAATAAGTACATTTGTGTATATTAGCTTTACTGTCACATTTTATTATGTGTATTATCTGTTTGGCTTTTTTCTATCACTGGCAATCAGATTTTCTTAGTTGCTGGCAGTGGGGATGCATTTGGAACTGGAAATAGTTGATGGATATACAGAAGCAGAACTTTTACAGAGTATCTCCATGAGAAGATGATGAGGAAGGGCAGTGTTGTGCATACATGTCTCTGAAAAGCAGCTTGCCACCACTACTAAATGTTCCCCACAATCACCTCTCACCCCATTTCAACTGAGAATACACTCAGCAGACCTGCCTGGTACAATGCATCAAGTGTGTGCCCATAGACATAGCCTTGAATCTTCTGCAGCAAACTGCAGAGTGTTCCTCAGCAAACAAGGATGTGTGGAAAGGTTTCCTGAAGGTAAATATTTGAAAAAGAGAGGCATTGATAAGTAGCACTACAGTAGAGCTGATTGCTTCCGTGACATCAGTGATCTCTCATCTTACTCACAGGAAACACATTAAAGTGACCCTGTATTTTCTAAGCACTTATTATGTAGATTTGCATGTAGATTTTCCAGCTTTTCTTCACACAAAGAAAAACCAGAAATGAAACTAGTGAGGTTCATTTCTTGCCCAAGCCCCAAAGCAATTCTTTAAGAAATCATTTCAGTCGTCAGTAGAACGCTGCACAGTCTTGGGTGGTATGGGAGAGAGTCTGGACAGAATCAGACTGGCAAGTGTTGCCAAGGAAGCCCTCGGGTGGCAGGTCGGAATGGCCGGGTTCAGACAAGCCATGGTGGGATTTTTTTTACCACTGTTGGTCTTTCAGGTTGCCTGAACCAAGGAGTGGTCTTTCACCGTGTTAACTTTGGTTTTCAGAAACCCCAATAAGAAACAATGCTTTGTTCTCTGGTTTCTCTTTACCATCATGGCTTGTCATTTTGTCTGAACCCAATATCACAGTTTCCATAGTCCTGGTATGCAGCTACCAGAGAATTCTCTGGAAAGAGCAGCAACTACAGGATCCACAGCCATCTAGCCTCTATGAGGAGGAAGAAGTATGTAACACAGGCAGGGAGCGATGCACCTCGGGATTGAGTTTCAGGCACAGTGGCTAATGGGATTCATGCCAAGAGTGGGAGGACTGAGCAGGGAGGGTGGAAACCATGACAAACTGCAAACCACTTGATTGTCCATGTCAGGTAGCTCATGGTAGAAATCCACAAGCCATACTTTTATTTATTTATTAAATCTTTTCTAACCCCTCCACTACAAGTGTCTCGGGATGGCTTACAAAAAATGTAAGGTTTGCTTGTTGTGTTGTGTGAATGCAGCCAATACATTTGAGGTGGAACCCCAAGGTAAATGAATTTGAAGAGGAAGAGCTGCAGGTCTGATCAGCCCTGAAGGATTCTAAATGAAGAAAGACTGCAGCTCAAGCGTATAGCCATCTCCTAGCTCTGATATGACCAATGTCACTGACAGCCAGGATCTCCAGGAGATAATCTGTTGGTAGATATAAAGTGTGTGTGTGCGTGTGTGTGTGTTTTACAGTATATCCATTGTATGAATTGCTATATAATCAAACATATTATTAAAATGAAGAAGCAATTGATACATTTAATTGCTAGATATACAGATATACTAGATGAGATAGCTTGGTTTATTGCTAATGTCTTTAGGAAGATGCAGCAGTTTTAGTGGAAAGCTCGAAGAGGATCCCATTTCAAGAGACCTGCTGGACCTGACAGCTGACTGTTAGGTGCTGATAAGTTTACCTAATCAAATGGCCTCTCCAGCTGAAGGAAACAAGGGGCCACCAGGCTACTCTCCAGCATTTTTGTATGCCCTTTTATAACCTTTTCTACTTCATTGTGCTCTCCGCTTACTTACACGCCCATACACAGAGTAGTCAGTGAAACACACCCTAGAGTAAATATTTACAAAAGATTCCTTAGTATCCTGTTGTTGCTTTTTCCAAAGCACCAAAAGGTTCTTGAAAAGAAGTGGTTCATTTTGCTCAAGACAAATCACCACCATGCAATCTGTACCATTTATCACCAACTGGTGATAAGTCCATTAATGCCTGCCATCTTTGCTGATACATGGAAGAGCAGATATGCAAAGAGCATTAGATGAATTTCAGCCTTGTGAAATCATGTTAGCATAATTGATGGCGATCATTTTCTTTGTTTTCCAAGTTAGGTAACCGTATAGCGAAATTAGAAATGATATTTTAATGTAATTAGTCATGTCTTGAACTGCTGTTATGTGTGTGCCAACTTTACTGTGATCAGTGGACATGTTTACAGAATTTTATGACCATTTTTTTAAAAAGAAGAAAGAATATCAGTAGATTTAGAAAAATAAGCAAGGGTAATTATATTAATACAATTAAAAAATATAAGACTGGAAGCAAACAACTGGAAGGAATGAAACATGGAAACTTACATAATTTGACGTGTCAGCATCACTTTGTCATTATTACCATAAATATTGTTTTAGGATCCCAACATTTAATGAATTCTCTAAAGCAGCCTTCTGCAGCCTGACAGTATCCAGATGTGTCAGACTGCAACTCCTATCACGCCCCTGGCATGACTAAAAGGATTTTGTTAACGGGAAAATGTTACAGCAGCTACATAAGGGGGCAAAGCGAGACTTAACAGAGGAACTATCCTGAAATAAGGCCAGGGCCAAATTCCATTTCCGGGGCATTTCAAGGGCCACATTCCAGTGCTGAGAGGTGCTGAAGGTGAAGGCTCGGAGACAAAATACAATGAAATACAGACATATTTTAGCTTGAAGCTCTTACTGCTCATAACTAAACCGTGCGAGAAGCTTTTCAGCCATTCAGAATAGAAAAAAGCTGCCCGACGGCCAGCAAATGACCAGACATTTGGTAGTTGGGGGAAAGAGGCCTGGGCCAAGGAATGTAGTACTAGATCCACCTCCGCCTCCTGCCACCAAGAGGACTGAGTTTGGCAGCTGGGCTTGAGGTTCTGCACACCTGCTGCAGACTTCAGAGTTAATCCAGTGCCTGCCAAACCCTTGATCATTGCTCTTGGCCCATGCTGCCATGGAAGCCTTTAGTTGGAGATGTAGCACAGTAGATCATTGTCATATTGACTAACCCATGAACAACTCAGGCCAAGCATCGTAAAAACGTGTATTGTCACATTACACCTACAATTTATTCTACAGATGCAGCATTCTAAATATGGAAGCCTCTCTCAGATGGATATCTGGAGGATGAGGCATGGGCAGTAATGGCCACTAAGGGCAGGCAGGTCTGCATGAGAGAAGGCCTTCTCTTGGGCGTACTGGTCCTAAGTTCTTTAGGGCCTTGCAGGTTCCTAGAAACACATCAAAAACTTGGCCTTGTAGTAGGTTGGCAGCCAGTACAAGTCTTACATGGCAATGGGCAGTTATCATGCAAGAATGCATACACACCTGGCTTTACAAATTGGCAATATTGCCAGCAATCTAACAGCATCTACTGTTTGGACAGGGTGGTTGTTCCATTTAATTTGTGGTTAACGATTTTGGTATGTGCTACCTGTAGAAGCTTCCCCAAATTCCTTTGTCTAACAAGTCAGTGGTGCTTCTCTGTTGAGGGAAAATTACCATAAATTTGAAGGGATTGAAAGTTTGCTGAATTTGGTCATTATTAAGACTCCCGCCACCGATTTTTCCTGAGATCGCACCCCACACAAACTCATGTGGGATTTTAAAAAAGAAAAAGCTCAGTTCAGTCAAACTGGCAAAAAGAGTGCTTAACCCCACCCTTCTTCCAGAGAATTACAGTCCAGAGCTAGATGGGGACAGCATATGCTTATACAAAAGTAAAGAAATACAGCAACGTCAGCTAGACTGATGTGATCGGTAGATTGCATAGCTTGGTCCTGACACATGGCCATTATACTCATTGAAAGTTCGCATTACCAGTTGTCAGAGTTGATATTCCAAGCCTGGAATTTATGAAGACTTGATGGCATATCTAGTATAATCAGAAAAGATAGCAAGGAAAATCTGAACCTTATCAAGAAAAAGCACGAGGGGATCCATGCAATGCCTCTGCAGGTATTGAAAGAGCAAGCAGGCACGGCTGCCCAGGCAAGCCTGGCCTACTGCCAGAACCACGTGACCTGGAAAAAGAGGCGCCTGGGACTCTGCACATTCACTGAGGTCTGTGTGGGGCCTCCCCCAGGAAAGATTTGAATGGTCAGCAGCAATTTTAAAGTATTTCACCAGTTCTGCTGCAATGAATAACAGAGGTCTTTAAAACAAAATAGTTTTAAAACTGCTATTAGAACAGTATTTCAAGAGAAGAGGGGGGTAGAAAATAAGATCTGGATGGATGCTTCTTCCCACTCCAAGTTTCCTGTTTGTGTGTTTGTTTTTGTTTAGTCGCAAAGTCATGCCTGACCCATCATGACCACATGGACAACATTCCTCCAGGCTCTCCTGTCCTCCACTATCCCTCGGAGCCCACCCAAGCTGTCACCCACTGCCCCAGTGACTCCATCCAGCCACCTCGTCCTCTGCCGTTCCTTTCTCCTTTTGCTATCAATTACCTGGCTCCAACTGCCCTATGGGTGCTGTTTTGTGGGCACAAGAAGAACCCTGCTGGGCCAGACCAAAGTTCTCTAGGCCAGCGTTCTGTTTGCATAGTGGCCAACAAAATGCTGCAATGGGAAGGTGGCAAGCAGAACATGAGTGCAAAGGCACCCTCCCCCTCACCAGTATTGGAAGTACTAAATAGCCCATTATGAATAGTGGCCGTGAAACATTCCTCGTGTGTAGCATGCAACTGCTCGATGCATTGTGCCTTTAAATGCAGATTAAACTAGACCCCC